ACGAATATACCCAAGCTTGTCCCAGACCTAGGCCGCCACATCGGCAGAGTGTGATATCGTAGATCGAGTCAGCGCAGATGCATACATACGTTTCGCCGCCCTTTCCTTTTCTGCACCCTCGACAGTACAAGCCTCTTCAAGTTGCTCACAGGGGGGACCATGCTCCGCCGGTGGACATGTGCCACGTGAACTCTTCCTCAATGAACAGCTGCATTTATCCCGTTTCGCTTGATGTCATGAAGGACTGGTAGCTGAATTTTCACATCCATCCGATTTCACACGGTCCTCCAGAATGGGGAGCCATTGTGGAAACCAGTCTGTGTGAAGTTCAGTGGGAGTGCGAGGCCCACTGATCAGATTGTGAGATTGTACCATTCATCCTTCATCAGCTTTAACGAACTATGGTGAATACAAGATATGAAGACCAAGATGGTGTGGCCTTTTGTGTGGTCGCAGTCTCCTTTCGTTATTTTAAGAAGTTGTTTGACCTTGTTTTACCAACTTCGTCATATTGGTAGGAAGACTTATTGGAACGCACCTAGTCCGTCTTGTCTCTTTGACGAGTTGTTGTGTGGTGCTGAGAATGGCGATACTCACTGACGATGCCGGCGAAACGTTTGGGAATGTACCACGTCCACTGTTCAACTTTGGAAATGATCATGCAGACAATGTATCCCGGACTAGGTGCGTTCCAATAAGTCTTCCTACCAACATGACTATGTTGCGAAAACAAGGTCAAACAACCTCTATGGTGAATACAGTTCTTGCATAAAATCTACTTGTAGTCTCTAAAACCTACCGTATTTTTCAGCGTATAAGACGACCCCTGACTTTTCCAGTTAAAATAAATTTTTTTTTATATACTCGCCGTATAAGACTACCCACCCTTCCACACACCAAATGAAACTTATAAGAGCATCAGATTTGATTTCAACATGGTAATTTTAACTACAAGCAGCAAAACTGTCACTTATAAGCATAAGGCTGAATGTCATCAAACATGTACCGTAACACACAAGTGCAAGTGGATTAAACTCAAAAGCTGAATGAAAGGATAACACAATAAACGCATGGGAGCTGGCATACTGTTTCTTTTCTAAGCTATTAACTAAACTGCAATTGACAATGATAGGAGGAAGTTAACAAACAATAGAGAGAGAGAGCAACTGCTGGGCAAGTCACTGGCGAGTAGCATGCATCATAATTGCAAGCTATGGTATTTTTCGCTAGCGTGACAGTTTCCCTTTTGAAATTGTTGAGCTTACGTCCATTTCGAGTAGAAGTGTTGGGTGAAGAGATTCGAAGGTCGGTTCCACCC